CTCTAACGATAATAACTTTTCAAACTTTTCTGTCAGGCGTTTCATACAGATAAGAATGCAGGACAAATCCAGTTTGAAAATCTTGTTTTAGCATTAGTCTGATTGCAAGAAAACAATTTAACGAACATGCTTAATTCTGGGGACGCATATACACACACACATTCGAACTAATCTGATCGACCGGAACCAGAATCCCAAGGTTGTACGGCTTACCCAAAGTAAATAAAGATGTCTTACGTCTCAGGCCGATTTCAAACATGTGTGATTCCCAATACCATGCAATAGCTAAATAGCTTGTGACAATTTCTGATCCAGTGAGTGCCATCCTTGCAACCCACACTGTGTCGGACTCTCGTTCAAATATGCCATTGGAAACTCAAATGTTGATCACCAACGAATGACATCCATGGATGTTAACTCTTTTTTCATTAGTGTGTTCCTACGGGGGAAATCCTTGAATAGTTCTGTAATTCAACTCAGGAAAATAATATCACAATTGCTTTAGCTATGGTGCTTCAGCACACAGAACGTTTAGTTTAAGTTCATTGACGAAATCTATCACCAAAAGGATGGTGTAGCGATGGGATCCTCCTTCGGCCCCCTATTTGCTGACTGGTTCACGTCCAAGCTAAAGAATATAGTCTTTAAGTTCACAATTAAGCGATGCTAGACGTACAGACAATATGTCGACGACATATTGTTTTGAGGACAGCAACGTGAGAGTTCGACTTGCCAAGGATATTTAATTCCGCTCACCGTAACACCAGATTCACTTTGGAAGAAGAACTTAATTGTGGGATTGGTTTTCCGGACATCTAGCTAAAGCGTCGCAGAGATGGTCCCGGTCGGAGATCAATTTATGGAAAATCAACTTGTAGCGGCCAGTATCTCCGTTTCAGAAATTTTGCGCTACTCAAACGAAAAAATGACTTGATTCTACATATGGCAAATAGGGTGGTGAAAATGTGCACTGATGACACTATAAATGCAGAAGTATCCTTCACCCATGATGTTTCCGTACGAAAGCGGTTATCCAGAACGTTTTTTGGATAACGTTTTACGAAATCGTCCACGGGAGATATTTAAATGTAGAAAAGCTAGTATGTAACTCTCTCCTATTCAAAGGGCATACAATCATGGAGTTGGTTAACCGTAAACCGACAACTGCCGTGGAGAATGCATTCCATGTGGCAACAACGTCATATTCACCTCCAGACCAACCATGTGTTCCTAACTCTGCTTCTACAGTCTCATTTTGTATGTAACTGTTTACGCGTTCCTCGTGGGGCGACGAGCAGGCTTCTATTGAAAAGAGTTGGGGAACATCATTCGGCCTGGCGGAACAGTAGTGTAATTGAAACTGCCACAAGTGCCATCGTTTCACACTGCATCGAATCTGATCACAGTGGATGTGAATGAAGCATTCCTTCCGTCCTACCGTGGTCAGGGTCGCCGATCTAATCCGATTAAAAATCGCACTCTGGCCTACACAGGGGCGGTTGTAGTTCGTCTATATGTCCCCCCTTGTGCACCCAAAAACGTTTTTGAAAACAGCCTCCCATGGCTCTTCACTCCTCCCCCCACCCATCCCAAATCACATATATGGTTCGTGTAACTGAGACAGAAAACAAAAATATCACTGTGCGTTTGTTGTCCCCTTTTTCTGTGTGTGATGTATTAGCCAGTTGATGAGTCACTGATAAAAAGCCTGTTCGCTGGACTGTTTTCTTTCAATTTGTGCCCCTGGTATATTCCGGGTAATAAAGTAGATTGCCCATGAATCACTAGTATATGGCTATGTTATTTTCATGGAATACATTTAAAGACGGTTTCACTCAACCTGATTGAAGTTGTGGTTTTTTGATGTCATTTCTCATCTCCTGTTCCCCGTTTCTGACAACTCTTAGTTTTTTCACTGTTCAAATATAGTTGAAGGTTTTTCAGTCGATTATGCATCTAATTTCAAACCTAAAAGTAACAATTCAGATATCTGTCTTTGAACATCTGTTTTTCTGAAAACAAAACTACTTTTCATACTATTTTGCATACATTTTAGTATGTTAAACAGTAGGAGGTGTATATATTTTCACAATTACCTACTATTCACCGATCGTAACCAGCAATCCAAGCCCCAGGGTTCGGAGTGATGAGCCAGATGAGAGTATGACTTTTGGTGTGTGCTTTGACCTGTAGGAATGCTTCCTTGGGCTATTGAAGTCCTTCGTGAGACTCTGAGGTTTGACATTTTTGGTTTTCACGCTTGCTATTTTGGTGTGATCTATTTTTTTCATTCATTAATAGCACACGTCATGTTCGGTATTCATTTCAGTTTTCTGTGCTTTAAGGATTTTTGTAGTTCTTTATTTTTGCACATACACCCGTTGCATGTTATAGGGTTCATCACCATACTTTGCCACTTATTATTTGAAATGGTTCAAGTAATTGTTTTTTTCGTTCTATCAGGTCACTGTTGGGAATTCTATGCGTATCACCGTCCTCAACATCGGCATCAGCTTCTTCGTCCTCGTTCGTCTCACCCGGTTCACCAACTGCGATTTTTCATTGTGTCATCCTCGACTGGTTGCTGGAACTCATCACCGATTTTTTGGTCTGTGTCTGTCCCGATTTTAAACGGGAGGATCCAGACAGGGTAAGCGAGTCCGGTACTGTCACTCGATAATTGATCGTAATTCCGTTATTTGACATTGATGACGTATGATTGAAAACGTTTTCTCACTGAACCCTATGATTTGCTCTTCTGATTTCCGTATGCTGTTTGGGTCGCTGTTGGTTAACATGTCGGTATCCGAAGCGGTAACCTTTATTCGTTAGAATGGACCACAGCTTAATTCTGGGAACCGGGGAACCGGAGACAGGGGTTTACTCTACGTTCCTATGCAGATTCCAGGCTGATTCGTTTTGTCATATTTTTTTCCTCTATGCTTCGAGAAATGAACACGTTCAGAAAAAAACACCTTGTGCAATGGAGTAGAGTCTTCGCAATCACAGTTCGTATTGCTTTAAGCTAACGGATGTTACCAAAGGAATTTTCGCTCATTCTCCTTGTTAATCACATAATTTATGCTACGCAGGCTGCGTTGAAAGCCGTTTTTATCGATCATTCGTACTCATATTGGAATTATTGAAGCATTCGTCGTCAAGGTTTCCATACTGCAATATGTGGTTTTGCCAATTGTATTGGAATCTCTCCTAGTCCCGTAGCCTAGGGTTCTGATCTCTATAGCTAACGAGTTCTTTTGATAATGCAATTCACCCGATTCATCTTACCGGAGGCTGTCAAATTTGTGCACCCACCCTAGATAAGTCTCCGTCGTTCTCCCGTTTTATACTGGCTGTTTATATCAAGAGTCTTAAAATTCAGAAGTATCATAGATTCAAATTCATCGATGATATTAAATCTCTATGAATCCGTGTATGTACACAGTACGTCTCGGTACGGGTGCCTTAATATACAGTCATTCAGTAGATTCGAAGCGTTTTGCACCGGCCGTGGCTAGTTGAGCGAATTGTGGCCACATCAAAACAATGTATGCCCGTAAGCACTAACTGTGTGGTCATCACAATCAGAATTTAGGTACGGTGTGTAGGCCTGAAATTGAATGATTTCAGCTACATTGTGACATCGGATTTCGGAAGGGATTTGGTTCCTGTTGGGTGGGGGTGGGGTGACGAATGAGGACACTGTTAGGCAAACAGGGCATTCAAAGCCTCACTACAAAGTCAACGGAAAAATACCCATTCTTCATTGTTTGTGTGTCCATTTGGATACTTGCCCCAGTTTAAGACGAAACCGAAACAATATAAATAAACAAACCTACAGAACACACCGATTAAAAGAAAATTGAAATTATGAACAACGATCCTCAACTGTCGTAATCAGGCGACAACTGAAAATGCAAATGGTAACTCCCCACAAGTGAAAATAGTCAATATTCCAATTCACTCTCTCTAATCTTTTTCATATCACCTTTCAAATTCGTCATTTATTACCACTGAGTCCGCTGCTGTTTTGTCCCTTTTTGATCTGATCTCATCCAATCAGTCAATCACGGACGAAAACACCTCAAACACTTGGGCACTGTTATCTGTTTTGGTGCTGTACGCTCGACGGGGATGGACCACTGCATTTTCCGTTGAATATCTGTACGCTCGTCTATGCGAATCGCGGGCGGGTCTAGGCGGATCACGTGGTCTGATCAATTTAGCTGTATCACACGTGCGCGACGCTCTCCGCTCATGCAATCCTGTACATTTGGAGGACGAATCGTGGACGCGACTGCTCTGCTCTCGCCTTCGCTTTCCACTGATTCTTCTACTTGAATCGGACAGTCCTACGGTAAATTGAACTCTCGTGGTAGTCATTTTAATCGTATCGCTTTTGAAAACCCAGAAATATCATAATCAGAAGTGTCTCATATGCTGTTCCGTTTGTACAATCACTAACTGTTCACTTTTGTGCCCTTGCGGTAATCACAAAGAATGAAGTGGAAATCAGCGGAGATAGCAAAGATGACAAATTAGATATGAGAGCGAAATAGTAAAATACTAGAACTCCTCTGCTAATGACGCATAAACGTCACGTAACAAATACTGTCATTGATTAGGCTGCTACCGAGGACCCAAGAGCTGTACTCAACAAGACTTACATAACCAAGGTTATGGATACCTTCACACTGCGTTTCGGTCTGACCTTCATCAAAGCCAACCACTTTTTGCCTCAGTAAAGTTTGCTCACCAGGGGTACTACCCGAAAACCTGCGCGACGTTAGCCGTAGCCATTGTAATCAATGGATCAGATAAAATGGCACAAAATCCCGACAAATTAGTACTTCGTATGTCGTTCTGTTGTTTCCCGTTTGGGTTGTCCCGCCGGACTCGCGAACTGCAACATAGCTCTAATACTGTATATGTGGCAATCGTTCATCTTCTGCACTTATCGACCATGCCCGCATCGTGCAGATTAGTTGATCTTACAGATGGAGCTCATACCTCAACTTTTACATAACGGTGTAGCGGAAACGCCATACATTTGAGGTTAAAAGAATACTGAAAAAGCCCAATTAATGGTAATTCTCCTGTGATCTAACCTCTGGGGGAAATATGGCTGTTTATGTACCAAATTTGTCTACCTAGTACACTGTAACCCTATATAAATTAAGATTTCCAACATTTACTTTATGAGTTTTATTCACTCTCCAGCTAGCCCCCTCTGAGGGATTAGATGGTACTGCAGGTAACAGCGGCACACAAACGACGATCGGAGACGACATCAGTGGAGTTTGGGCCCTTCCAAATGCTATAGGTAGATCGGCGTTTCAAACCTTCAATGCCAAGCTATTGTTTTACACTACAGCGGCACTGTGAGGAGGAGGAAAATACATTGTCTGATGAATTCCTCAGATAAACGGCCTAAAACGTTCGTACGATTGTAATCGCTTTCGCCATAGTAAGTGAGACAATCGCTCGGAGTTTCTCTTCGAGAGGCGTTCACCAGCATGGTGAAACGTGTCCACCTAACTTCGGCGAATTGTTACTCGAACTACCTGCTCCTTAAAGCTGGTCTGAATCCCCGCGCATTACTTCAACACCGTATGCGTTCTTTAGAATAAATGGTCTATTTTCTGTAAGTGAGGAATGTCGTTATCGTAGCACGAAAATTGAGCTGACTCTAGAAATATATTTCTTGGTAACCCAGTGAATGAGTTGTCGGTGTCACCCGGAATCTGTGTAAACGAGGTTTTGTTAGTTCATTTCTATTCACTACCCAATCACTCTTGAATCTTTCTGAAATTCAGCTTTTCGGGAGCTGGGAACTATTTCTTTTTTCACATGACAATTATCTACACCCTACAGTGACATTTGGGTGGCAAGGGTTCACTCCCTCAAAGTTCTTTGGAAACGTTAAGTCTGAGGTGGTAAAAACGATGGAATCCACTTAAGTGCAATCAACTCCATTTCGTGGTAAAGCACTTGACATTTGGGTCATTTTTGCACACATGATCTAGGTTGTTTCTCACAATATATATTGTTTTACTTCATCCTGTTTCTGATACACGGACACTCAAGAAAAGAAAAACAATTGACGCTCACGTGTGTTTGTTTGCTTGTATGTCTATGTGTGCGTGTGCCGTAGAATGCTGAATTTGCACAAACTCTACTGCTTTGCTTCCGTCGTTGTGTTCGTATTGGCGCAAAACCGATGTGATCTCTACAGGTGTGGATGCACATGAGACCTTAATCCGATCAACAACGAAAAATAGATGGCTATGGTGCATTGTGCTATTGGATTTCGCCTTCGATTCCTCGCTTTCACTAATGCTTGTGCTTCACGAACTTCGCAACACGAGTACCACAATGACACACACACACTATAGTGATGGTTTCACCGCACTGGCCAACTGGTTGTGTAATGATGACGAGTGTACGTTCTTTTGATGAATATGACTCACAAGAAGTTGACCAATGAGGGGGTGCAATAAACTGTTGAAAACAACAAGTGAGGTCGTTTTTAATGACACAGTGATCGTCTACCAATAAAGTTTAACTTGGCAGCGGCTTTTCAAATCGAGGCAAATGTGTGTAGCTCGGTTGGTGGATGTTCCGGGCGGGTTTTCTACCTGGCCTCTGAGTGTCTTGTTACCGAGTTATGTCACATTGTCAACGGAATAGGAATACTCTTGATATTCGTCTGTTTCTGTCAGTAGTCTTACGGGGTGAGGTTCATTTGACTAGGATGAGGCGTACATTGACATGCAGATGACTAAGAGTGTGTGTCCCAGTTGAAAGCCATAGATTTACACTTGTGTGTTTCGCGCAGGCACAGTAAGAGTGCACACAGCGAATCCAAAACAAGTTAACACAAACGCAAGTAATACTCACAGGAATGATGAACGAGAACACAGACTGGACCGCATGCACCATAACACAATGAGAAAACGGACAAAGCTACGAATTAGGTCCGCACACTACGGAGCGCGTACCTCAGCGACCAAAATAGTCGCCTTACTCCCAAATGACGAGTAAAGCGCAATAATGCACACTACTAGTGTTGTGAGGTACCATTCACAAATGTGAGTAGTATGCAAAATGGTTAGGATTGCTTTCGACGATCGAAAAATAAGAAGACAACGATGGCAAATTGCTGTATCTCAAAGAATAACTACTGATTGCTACATTCATTTCCTGGTCTGCTGCCAGGAATTTTTTTGGTATGCTTCAGATGCGATTTCTGTGTTATGTATGCCAAATTAGTGATATTCCAACTGTGATCTATAATAAGCAACTATCCTCGACCGAGCACCGCCTTATAGAATTATGACACTAGAAATCGTAGTCTGCTCCCAGTTGCTAAAGCGAGAACACTGGCGGCAAGCTTGAAACACAAAAAGTGCACTATAATTATAGCGTCAAGTCATCTGTTTATATACTGTAATGGCTCCTGGACATGTGATCTGAAGAATTGATGTAAAAGTGAGAATTTAAAAAATCGACAACTCGATGACCAGAAACGGGGTTGGCCGGAAAGCCCCAGAATCGCGCAAAATATTTTAACATTCGAAAGTAGACAATTTTAGGTAAAAACTATATTTCATCAACACAAGATGACATATGTGAGCAGAATTGATATTGACCATCAATTTCGCGTGCTCTGATTCAGTTGTGAACGCACATTTATATAATCATGTAAGACGAAGAAGCATAGAAGTGGAAATGAGTCATTTGAATAAAGTGGTGGACAAATGAGTTGCGTGATTTGTGTTTGTTTAGGGGTTGAGGTCAATTTAGATTACAAAATTTAATATGGCAGTGAACTGGTTTAATCGATGTGGTGAATGCAGTGGAGGGAGCGGAAGGAAAGGTCATGTCACACTATGGTAGGATGGTATCAAGTGTGACATCATCACTTCCACTGCAACAACAATTGTGTCACAAATGCTTTTTGAACACAATCGCGGTTTCAAGCGATTAATAATTATTGCTTCTAAGAATCGCAGTCCGAGAATTTCGAGGCCTTGCGATGACTCGAAACGCTTTGGGTACGTCTACATGGTGACCGGAATCTAACAAGTGACGGTCAATCGCACTCTATGGTAGTTCCCCTCCGTGAAGACCAAGTTGTTCACACATTCTGGTTGATAAAGGACGTTCTGGCCTTCCCATATACCGCTGACCGCAGGTACATTGAGATGACTAGATAAAGTTGGAGGTAACATCAACGTCTGCTTGATCCAGATTAGTGCGTGTGAGATAACGAAATTTCCCGTAGACAATCATTAGTCTTGTGGCATTCTGCGTCCTTCCCACGGCGTGTGTTGAACAACGAGAGATCTTTTTTGTCGCATCATCTCCCTTGAAAGGTAGAACGTCATTTACCAACCAGAATGTGTAAGCACATCCCGGAACACCTTGGTCTTCCCGGAGGGAAACGACCATCTAGTGCGATTGCCCGTCATTTGTTAAAGTTTTGAAGATATGGACTGGCCA